CTTCGGAGACTTTGTCGATAAACGGTTCAAAGAGCGCATCGCCGCGGAAGAGGCCGCTGCTGCACATGCAACCAGACTCAAAGCGGCGGCCAAGACGCAGTCTCAGTGTAACGGAAGTTTGAAGGCCAACAGAGAAGTGGGAATCAGGACGAATAGAGGGCAATTAAAGGGTATTCGAGGAACGACCCATCGAATGCTTGACGTATAAGGATCCTTCCGCCCCGCTTCTGTCCACAAAAAGTAACGGAAAACATATTCAGGCTAAATAGTGGCACTTGACTCATTCTCTCCGTCGATCTTCAGCACGGATGGGAATTGGAGGCATGATGATTAGCGACGTGAATGATTACGCCAAGCTCGTCGGCATCATCAAGAAGGTTCGTCACAATGGCCGTAGCATGTGACCATTGAAAAAGAAGTCATTCCAGAAACTATTGGGGGTGTCCCCTTTGGATTCCTACCAAAGACGGATGATGATGATGATGATGAATCTATCTTGTCACCCCGTGGCCTCGTGATGACGTGGCACCTCTACTTGTAGTACTGCACATCGAGTTTACATGTAGAGATCGTTTGGACGGAGAAAGGAAGGGGCGGGTGGGTGATGTCGGGTGTCAATTACCGAAGACGGATGGAGCCGACTTGGACCGTCGGACAACGGTCACGTAGGCTAGGTGCCTTACGAGCCGTCGTTCACCGGAAATCTCGTATCTCGATATTCTATAGAACGTCACGAAAGCAGATATCATCAAGGCCATCAAGGGTAGCGTCGATAACATCGGGGACCTTAAAGCGAAGTCAACTTGAAAGGCCAGGACCGGATGCGGTGAGTGTATCTCATTGGAAACGGATGTGGTCAGGGTACGCGGGATACATGAGTGATGACCCAAATGCTCATCCTACTCTTGGATCGGTTTCTAGTCAGAGCCCAAGGAACCTGATTTAGAGACGAACAATAACTTCTGCCAACGTCTCGCGCTGAACTTTTACAGTAACGTCACCCGGCCCCGTTTCAATGCGCAAGGTTCGACATTGATGAGTTCCTGTTAGGATAAAGTGGCTGAAGGATTTCCCAACTGTCATGAGGACCCTTGGCACGAACAAGGATGCTATGGTTGCGGGCTCTGTCGTGTCCATCCCCAGTTTACAATGGGTCCATCAAAGCTTATCTATCATCAGAACCAGGATACAAATGGCAGGTAAGCGCGTTTCGTGATGGTGTTCAATCGACTCTGAAGTATGGGCTCCATCGTTTTAGATATCTCGCAAACATCCAGCAAAACGGTCCGTTTTGTCGTATTCCATTGGCCTTGGCTGGACTAATATACTTTTTTAGGGGCCTTCTCGGTCGTTTCCCGCATATCAATTACTCCTGACGGTCTCATAGTTATAGGTTAAGAAATGTGAGCGCGCATCTTGTTGGAATCACCTTGGGCGCACTGATGGCTAGTCAGCGATAGATGGCCTGCATGCCAAGGATAAATGGGCATATGCGAAGTCATTTGGGTATCCGCTTCTTTCCCCCTCAGGCAGTGCAGAGGCAAGAAGTATACGATCCATGTATGGGTAAGTGGGAAAAAGATTTTTGCGAGCGCTACATCGGGTCATCAATCCCTCGGCTCATTAGAGCGAGTTTATTGAAGCTGGTTTCAAAGTGGGCATGCTTGTGGGTAAAGCGCTTCGCGCCATCAAGTCATGTGTTGGAACCACATGGTGCCGTTATGTAGTTGACGATTCAGTTGGGCGCAAGGAGTCCGCATTCCCACTAGTTGAGCGATATTCATGTGAATACGGCAGTCTGACGGATGTTCCACCCTCGTAAGTGGTGATGTACTACATTCGTACCGCCGATAAGCTGCAATGGACAGCGCGCTGGGCAGAGAATTAAGTATGAAGGCAGCATTGGGGTGAGAATGATTCCCATGCGGCCATCGGGCTGACGACTAATTTCAAAGGCTGAAGAGGTCCTTATCGATGGGAACCACGAACGCGGGTATACTGAAGTTGTACGCAATCCTCAACAGCAGAAGTGATTCGTGAATACGGTATGACGATCCCCAACATGCATGTTCTGATCTGAACCGCTCTTCGAGAAACACGGCTGGGTATTGAGACAATTGTCGAGCACGAACAAAAGGTGAATTCACATTAATTGTGATCCCCTGAGCATGAGGATTCATAGCGCCCGGCTGACTGGCCCAAGGAGTTTTCCGGCGTCGATATCACTGAGCAAGACAGAGGGGTAGATTGGAAATGGCGCCCACCCGCTATGGAGTCGGATCTTGCCCATCACTCGAGTCATAGTCCATGTGGGGACTGTATGCATAGCCTAGCTCGGTATACTACTGATCTCTACGTACCTAACTCTGCGACCAATGATTCCCAATTGGTAATCTTCTATGTGCCTAAGCGAGGATACTACACAGCGCAACAGGTACGCGGCCTTTGCGTTCTTTAGCTGCGGTAGCTCATATACTCATATAATACTTCATAGGTAGATGTGCCCTCACAAGCGAGCCTTCGCACTGGACCATGACCTGACAGAAAGTCTACGTGGCACGTCCCCTTCACAAGCGAAATTTCACCTTAGCGGAGGATACTTAAACGATATATGCGAACTTTGAAATCCTAGCCTTTGACGTGTTAGAAAATGGGTTCTTGCTTGCTAAACTGCCGGAGGACAAGTTGGACTAAGCGATTGGAACAAGTGGATGGTGTCCAACGTTCATCCAAGTTCGGAATGCAACTGCGGAAGCGGCAGAGGCGGGAAACAAATTGAAATCGTGAACCAAATAGCCGTGACAGTGAAGGTTGACAACTAACGTCATCATGCTCGGCTCTGCACAGCTGAATCATGAGAGCCTTGAATGGTGATTGGCGCTTGTCCACCTGTGCCTTAGAGACCTTTACCGAAATGATATTCACCATGATCATCCTGGATTTGAAATGCTCTTGTAGCCGAAACAATAGGGTTTGCTGAGAATGCTGTCATTGATGTCCCGCACCCCCCCGACCGCTGAGCATCAGAGATGTACATTTGCTGATGGTATGACAGCTTGACAAAGGACGAGAACTACAATCCATCGATTTCATAAACCATCATTGGTTGTTATCTTCAGAACGAACGCTGCGGCCTGGCCCTTTGGGTTTGGCTGCCTGAGATCCCAGGATGGCAGGGCATTTGGCTTGATGCTCACTAAGATTCAGCTTCCTCTGAACGAGCATTCCACATGCACTGCAATGGACCCCTCTCCACTTTTCGGCCATGCAGAACCTGTGGAAACGAGCCACCAGATGTGGATATGAGGCCATTGAGGTCACGGGGCCGTTTGCAAGAGCCGCGCGGAATACCTCACTCTCAGTGACTTCCTCGGTGGTCCTGCGGCCTCCCATATTGGTGTCTGTGTTTGACATATCTTCATACTCGCTATCCGCATCTAATTGTAAAACGGTGAACGCCAATGCCAGATCTTGATTATAATGATCGTTCCCGATGTATTTCCGGGCAATTCGTTGACGGTGCTGGAACACGACGTGTTGTTGAAGGCTGCCGGCTCGTGCGCAGATGACATCGCAGAATCGGCAAGTTCCCGAAGGAGTGGGTTCGCGCTTGTTAGGACGGCGCTTGGGAGAGAGCACGGACGCGAGCCAATGAAAGTCATCCAAGGTCATATACCAATCCATCGGTTTATTAACGCAAGGAAGTGACTTGCCACGGTAGGTTCCCAAGGCAAGGGTGGAAGGTGATGAGGATTCCGTGAGCTCGAAAGTAAAGCCCGGGGAAACCAGAGGAGAGGAAGATGGACGAGATACTCCGGAAAGATCACAACCAACCCCTTCCTTTCGGTCCGATAAAGTTTTGGTGTTACCAAAGCTTGTTTGGACGGTGATCCGGGGTAAGTAGGACCTCCCGCGAGTTTCGCCATTTACGCCTGACAGTTGTGGTGAGACTGAGGCCGAAGACGGCGTAGCGGAAAGCTCAGTCATAGGGCTCGCCAAGCACTGGGCTTCGGTCCATAGGGGGAAACTCATTGGGCGGTAAGATGACGCCATTCTTGAGTCCAGATGTTGCGATTCGGGAGAATTTATCTCTTGGGGGCTTAAGAGGCCAGACTGACACCAGTTTTCTCCACTGATAAGAGCTGGCGGCGTCGAAAATAGTGAACTGGAGCCTTTTTGGTGGGTGTTCATGCCTCCATCCGTATCCACAGAGGGTGTTCGGACAATAGCATGCCACGGCGGCGGGATCCCGTACATATCAGATGCGTGCGGAAGGCTTTTCTTCTTGTGAGGTGCTTCGACAGCGCCTACATTGGATAAGTCTAATGATTGAGGCTATCAGCGCGCCACGTTCGACCCAGCATTCCCGACGATGGCGGGCAGTACCTGGCAGCATTTCGCCTTCAAATTGAACTTGATTATCCCCCCAATGCGCTGGGAAGTTCATTGAATCTGCATGGACAGTAGAAACGGAATCACGGAGAGAAGCTGTTGTCAGCACTACGTGACGGGCACTAAAAAGGGTAATGCTTTTACCAGAGTAAGGCGATCGTATCTGCCGTAGGACTAGAAGTGTCGAGCGAAGGGTAGTGAATAGGGATAGACCAAATTTGGATGAGCAGACCCACGTCTTGGAATAGGGACTGGGATATCAATACATCCGTATACTTCCATTGGGATTTGCTTGCTTGGAAGGGATGCAGGCGAGGAAGAGTAGAGGGAACTAAACTTGGACCCGAGATCCTGGGCCTTATAAAGGTCTTGAAGCGCTTCAACAGACGGCGCTTCCGAACCTTGCAGTGTAGACATCTACAAACATTGCCCAAGAATGCTGAAGAATGCGCTGTAACTTGGATGGTTCTCTTCGTTACACTTAAGCTCGGATTCCTGTCGGCACATGTGTGTGAGGCTCCACACACAACATGCACTCAATTCGAATAAATGTATAATTAACTAATTCTTAGGCGCCCGTCATCTAAGAACCCAGCTCAGCTTGACCATCCCTGTTGAACGTGGTTTGGCACTTCGTCTTCAACAACCTGCTCGAGGTTGTCAGTGTTCCCCTTTCCGGCCGCCATCGCCCATGTAAAGTTAAGGAATGCCGCGCGGCTCCGGCAACTCAATTGGCGCGACTTAATATCTGGACACATGGCTGGGGGCATCTTACGAGCAGTGACGAGCTGTGGGTGTGTAAGGAAACTAACGTGTCACTGCAGATTCCACTTGCAGCCCTCCAGTGGTGAGTGCCCCTGGTGGAAGCCGCCTTCCTTCATGCTTAGTTGCTCAGAGTAAGCGCCCACGGACAGCTTCTCATGCTTGTTGAAAAAGGTGACTCCTGGCCGCGCGCACCACGCCGGCACCCTATTTCTTACCCGGAGCTCAATGGCCGCTCCTCGCGTCGGCGGCTTATGAAATTAATCTGTATGGGCAAGTGGAGGAGAACCGCGTTTCAAAACATGGCTCCAATTTACCCAAGCGATACCCATCCACGAAGATTTGGCCGGGAAACTGGCAAACGCCTTACCTGTGCACTTTGCAGATATCCTCGTAGCCCCGAAACCATCCTGTTGACGAGTAGAGTAGACCGAGCCGACAGGGGTGAAAGGCCTGTGATCCGTCATGGAGCGAGGTTGGGGGAGTTGACCACAGTTAGCAAGTCTTTGAGACTCAAAAAGGAGGCTGGGGTCTGTTGGGCGGGCAAAGGCTCTCACAGCTGGAATCTTAAGGACTGGTGGGGCAAAACACGCTCTCCACGATCACACCCTCAACTGAAATGGCAAAAATTGACACAGGACATAGGCAAGGCCTGGTCCCATCCCAATCTTCATTCGTTCCAGCAGACTGCATAAAAACAACAGGAGGCGTAACTGAAAAAAAAAATGGAGGGGGTTGGGGGAGGGAAAGGAGGTTACAAGATAAGGGGGAAAGCTCTAATTTATATATACGGGATACTCCGCTGTGACAAAAAACATCGCTTCTGGGAAGATGGCTGACAACATGCATTCCGCGAGGTCTACAGTTAAAGGTTGGGGGAGAAGGGTATACTTCGAGGTGGTAGTAGTAGGGGGAAAGATGGTGCGCACACTAGTGGGGATCCAATACAAATTACGTCTTGTGGGACCAAGCGCAATTGATCTCAAGTAGTAGGGCCACATTGTACAGTGAAAAGGGTAATGCAATTCATCCTAAGCTAACCATTCGGGGGGACTGCGGATAACACCCCACGTTAGGGTGTTCTCGGAAACCTACGAGTTAAACAACCGAGCAGGCCATGCGGTTCACCGCCACCCCAGGCGCTCGGCGGGCCCGTGATAGGAAACGCTGACGAATGGTATAATCCCCAAACCCTCCAATCGCGACTCCAGTAAGTATCAATATCCATTGGCGGCTTTCCAATTTTCTGCAGCCTTCAGCTCTGCCGCGATGAACTCCTGATATGAAGGTGCTGCCGTAGAGGGAGAAGACGACGTAGGAGATGGCGGAGATGGCGGGGATCGAGGAAGACCGAGTCGGGTGTAGGTTTCTTGTGCCCATTGCCAAATTGCACCCTTCGTGCCGCCATGATTTGCTGAATCAAGTATGTGCGAGAAAAGTCGATACTGAAGGAATGCAGCGTAGGCGGACGAGGAAAGGAAGAAGCAAATGGTGAAAGATCCTCCTAAAACGGCGAACAGCCCTAATGCTGGAACGAGTGATAAGGAAAGAGAGGGGGGACACAAGCAGTCAGCGAAACGGTTACAAAAAGGATACAGGAAGGATCAAGTCCCCAGTTCAGGACGAATCAACGATAGGTCACCAAGAAATCATGAAAGCATGGCGGCCAAGACAAAGCGAGCACCCCCAAGGCTCAAGACTGAGCCAAGTCAACACCTGAGCATTTCAGAAAAGCTAGGTCCTACGAAGTGACAAGATTGATGCCAGGGGCGTGGCAATTACTCACCTGCAATCGAGAGGACCCAAGCGGCAGCCGACGCGGCCGATACCAAGGCGATGAATGTGAAGGACGAAAGCACGAGCACCCCAAAAGCACTAGATCCCATCATGCAAATTCAGGTGCTCTGTTCATCGGTAAAAGAGAATAGCCTTCCAATAACATACCAAAAAGATAGCACTGGAAGGAAACTAACTACGACGAAAGTGGTGAGGAGAATCTAATTCGCCCGCGTCTAAGTGAGATCGGGGCCCCGAAGCCGAAGCAATGATATCGTGAGCTCACTGTCGTGAAAGGGTTCCTCTGTCCAAATGCAAAATATTTCCTCCAAAATGGAACAAAGAACTCGCTTTCGAGACTAGGATTTTGTAACGTGTTTCGCATGACGTGAAGTCGCGTAGTAAAAGCAATTCCACGCGCAAGAGCGAGGGAAGCGCATGCGTATCAGACAGGAACGATATGAGCGCGTCGTCAGCGCATTTGTCAACACAACCCGAACATGCTTACTACTGAGTGTCTTCCCGCACCGTCCTCACCGCCTGATCTAACCAAGTTGACAATTCTGCACGGTACTGATCCCCATTTGACGATGCCATTGCGTGAAATGCCTCTTCGCCTAGGGACTACACCAGGTGGGAGGGCTAAAGAGTGGAGAGACGCGGCAAATTGCCTCTTCAATGCAGGGTTTATTCAACCGGGGTCAAACCCCCGATACAGGACGTCGGTCAACTCCGGCCAATACAAATAATCTAGTGCGCGTTCACATGATATTTGCGTCAATTTATCGTCGGAAAACTACGTTACCCCGATTTCCGACATTACGTGAGGAAAACACTATCAAGCCCACTAGAAAGATCCCATTACACATGTATTACAGTAACAGCCGAGGAGTACTGGGTACTACAAATATTACACGTTTTCGCCTCCAATCATTGATTATTTTTTCTGAAATTCCTCCTCAATATCATTCGCCCTTATCCTCTCGATGTTCGGACATGAGGATCTGAGGATATTTAGAGAGCTCTCGGATATGTCCATCCCAACAACCCAGATGATACTGAGTGTTTCACCGTGGAGATGGACGAAGCGCCGCACAAAACCATCATCAAGTTCTACCGAGATAGGACGAGGCGGTGGAGTGGAACCTCCAAATGCATGGAAATAGCTGTTTGTGAAGGAATCTCGAACACGTAAGTGAAGAGGGTATTTTCGACGTCGAGAGGCGAGAGATAAAGGAGGCGGAGGGGTCATATGCGAAAGGATATCTGCTCGGTATCGGTGTCGAGCAGGTCCATGCTGAGCGAGAGGGAATGGGACAATAGTTGACATGGGGACGACAGTGCTCTGTATTATATGGAATACTTCGATTGGACTATGGGTCAATAATTCTTGTACGTGGAGCCAATAAGCCAATGTAGGCTCATATGGTAAGGAGACCTTTCGTAGTCGAGTAAAGCGGGGTGTGGGATTTTCCTTGAGGAGATTCACCAATTTTGAAATGCTCTGGACGTAGAAACCATGAAAAATACGTCTCCGCCCAACCCAATTCCAATGCGAATCTGCTCACCAGTGCAGTCAAATTAAGGTACAACTGCTCTATTTCAGTAGCACAAAGTAGGAGGCAGTATATGGTTTCCGTGCTGATTTCAGGGCAGTTGCTCAGCATTAAGCTTCGAAGTTGAGGCAGGTGAAGTTCTTGCAGTGACTTGTTATCTAAGGATACGGCATTCTAAAACAGGAATAAGCACCATTAAACGCACTCCTGTAGGAATACTAGCCTCAATCGTCAGCGAGCGCAGAGTTGGTGACAAACGTCGGACCCAAGGAAGGATGTGTGGTATCAACTCCTCTGAAATATCTCTGAGTCTAACCCCCTCTAAAAAATGTATGCAACCCAGAGTCTGAGAAAACACTTGAGGCCCCAAACCCCCTAATTTGATATCTAGGACCCGCAGCTCCGGTAGGCACACCAAACTCCGCAACACAGGGGTCGGCATAGGCTCGGATGCCCGCCAGCGGAAAGAGCTAGCGTTGGCGCAATTGAGCAGCGCAGATTCCAAAAGCTCGTTGTATCGCTCATGCGCGGCATTGAACGCGGGGAAGACTGTAGGATCAAAGTCGCACACCAGCATTAAGTGACCAATTCGGTGGCGCGCAGGGGCTCCGAGGACATACCAAATTCCTCCACATGCGCAGAGAGATAGGGGAAGCGCCCAAGCGTTCCCAATAATTTAGCAAACTAAAAATAGGCCGGAATCAACTCAGCATCATAGGGGTTGCGGACCCAGGTGAGGCAGCACCAACTCGACGATAATCATCCGTGCGAGACCCGAAATCTGGCTTGCAGCACCTGAAGCGAGAGCCATCGTATAGTGCTTCCCTGCAGTAGAACACAAACTTCCGGCACACCAAGCAGAGCTGATAGATGTCGTGGGGCGAATCGAGGAAGCTGACAATGCGCGGCAGGAGATCAAGAGGAAGCTCGGACCTCGACATCGCCATTGGTTCGACCATGCCGTGCAAAATGCACAGACCCTCCTAATGGACTTGCTGTAACCTGCCTAGGGCTTGCTTCACGGCTCGAGTCCTTGGTCGGGATCGGCCCACCGGCACCGCCACGCTTCGATGTTCTCACGAAGCCAACAGACGCATGTTGCGTTTTCAGACGTTCAATCGTCTGCAACACACGTCCGCCCGGCGAACTTGGACACTTCAAGCCCGCCTAAAAGAGGTCCTTAGGCATTCGGCACAGCCTGTTGCCGTCCTCACTGCTCCTTACCCTAGACTCCACCATAAGGAAGGCTCAGAGGACGTCCCTTTGTATCATGGTGCAACGCTCTCCTCGTTCACGTCAATCTCCCTCCATCCGCTCCCTATTGTTGCCTTTTCCCTTCGACTTCCCTCTCGCTCGGCGGACTCCATTAGGAAACCAGACCCATGCAACACCTCATCCGTTCCCCACCTCATCATTAACATTCTTAGCGCGTCGCAAACCGATACTGCCATAAAGTTTTCTCGCGCAGATCTCCACCCTAAACCATTCTCGGACACGCGCTACGTGCTCTCAAAGGAGGGAATACCGATACTCTCGGGATGTATTGGTGCATTGTCCTGCGCATTGCTCACATCGCTACCGTTATATGGTGAAGCGCTGACGTCGTACGGTATTAGTTCCTCGGAACTGTACTCCTGTTCTGAAGCTGCAGAAGAGACTCCAGATGTAAACTCGGAGCTTTTTATTGCTCGGGTCATGCGAGTCGAGGATAACGATGCCAGCGATGATCGTCTTCCGTTAGTATATTATGGTCGTCGATACTCCACTATAGAGCCATCCACGAACAGTCCTTCCTCGTGATGGCCATTTTAATCTGGTGAATGCCGTTCATGGCGTAGCTTCACTCCCATGAACTGCCGAGAGTTCCTTATCTGGTGAAGGGGGAAGGGAGCTGTTGCATTCATTCTTCGTTAATGAGCGTATCGAACCATTGTATGCTCGGTGATCTAGGCCAGGCGTTCGTCAATTGGAGCAGAAATGTACGGACTTTACTGTTCATTGATCAATCGTACAGCGGTGTAAATTCAATCCTCCAAATGCTACCATCCATCTAAACCCCATACTATCTACACTTGGATTGATTCGTGATCAGGTCAAGAAAAGTGTGCTAATACATATGGGTCGACTGCTTCCTGCCCTGTTGTACCGCCTTGGCGTCGGTCCGGATTGTGTGGTGCTTTGAGAGACCAAGTTTTCAACAGAAAGATGTATTTCAGGAACAGTGGATGAAACGCCTCATACACCCTTGCCCTTCTAGCCCACTGCCAACTCAAAACTCCATCCCAGTAGGCGTCGGGCTGGAGACAATAGGCACGCCCAGATGGAGGTAGGATTGCGGTGAAGGTTCCCAATTGCTAGTACCGGCGGTTCTGGCCTGA